TTTCCACTTGATGATTTTATATGATCGGATCAAGATGCAACATATATAGTAACATTGAATATAAACAAATTAACCTAAGGTTTAAAGAGTTAGCTTCAAATATAAACAAATTAGCTTAGACAGTAACCCTAAAAGGTTAGAGGTTCAAACCTCACAAAAAATGAGAAGCGTGTACAGTTTATCTGACATATATAGATATTATATTATAAAAACTAGAGAGGGTTGTGAACGATATTTCAAGGAATAAGAGGGAAATAAAGGCACAAGGAAAAAGGTAGATTGGGGAGGGGCAGTAGTGCTAGATATGGATGAAGGGGAGAAACTATGATGCTGAAAGAGTCGTTTTAAAGAATTATAGCAACAAAAGCTGCACCACGTTTTGGTGATTGATTTGTGTAAGAATTACCATTTCATTTATGAATTGCTTCCTTTGTCCTTGATCCAATCTTTGGGACTTCTTGATTGCCACAACACGATGCCGTTGCCTCCTCTGCCTAGAATCTTGTCTTTTGCATACTTATTAGTCGCTTCTTCTAGCTCTCCAACATGGAAAATTTTCATGGAATGGACATTGATCCCACCCATCGTTTTCAATTTCTCTTCCAATAACACTCCCCCATTTTGCTTGAAACATTTTTCTCTTTGCTTAACTAGCTTCTTTTTCTTGGCCGTGAAGTACGACACTATAATACAATTAGTATTGTGAACAATCTAGACCCCACACCTATAAAACAATTATGAGCACATTAACTTCCATTAGTTGCCATCTTTGGTTTAAAGGTGTGCCTTAGAAAACATTGGACATAACAAGAAATGGGAAAAAAAGATCACATACCAAAAGAGAAAAGTCGATCTAGTTGTATCTCGAGTGCCTTTTGTTGTTGCCTCATGAATTTGGTTAATTAATAGGAATCCGATGTAGATGGATCATCTAGTAAGAAAGGAAAACGGCAATTGAAGCTGAAGAATTTAGGATTTACTTGATCAAAGATGAAAAGTGAAGATATTGAGTCGAGCGGAAAAGGTCGCAGCAAGTTCACATTGGAAGTTGAGCAACTCTATGATTTTTGAAGAACACACATTCACACTTCATTGTACATTTTAATTTAAGCTTTTGTATCACAATCTTACAGTTTTGTTTCCTTATTATGATTGTGAGTAGATGTTTTAGACATAGGAATGCATGTGGGATGTAGTTTATGTGATGATAAATTTGTACACTGAAGGGCCAAATTTGTGGCCTTACCTTTTGAGCTGTAAACTTTTGTACATTTATCAAATAATTATATAAAACAATAGTAGTGTCTCTTATATGGGTTCCGCAAAAAATGCCATTTTTTCATGACAAGCATGAGAAGTATAACGTTCACATAGTATATGGAAGGTACCCTTGTATTGGTGAACGATGGAAGCTGGTAAAGAAAGTGAAGGTGACTGGTACCTTTAATTTCATTAAACAGCTGGTGAACGTCTTTGAATTTCATAATCCTATAAAATAAAGAATGATTCTCGACAATCCATATTTTTAGTTTGCAGATGACTGTTGTGAATCCGAAAACTTAAAAAAGTGTAAACTTTAATATAAAATAAGTTAAACAAATACATGACATAATAACCCAATAAGATAGAAACTAAAGTGTTTCGAACAATTGTCTCCCCATGTTAGCTCTTCAATGTGGTTATTGTTTTCTCTGCGGCTACCGGTTTCTTTGCTGCTACAAATTAAGTTTGACGGAGAGAAACAACAAATTGGTTTAGTTTGATAGGTGCATGGGGGAGAAGATGAGAAGTTGAAATTGAAGAAGATATGCTCTTGGACATATGATATAGTTGAGGGCTTAGGAAATCGAATAAATATGTAGTTGGCTTGGATGTAGAGGACGATCTTTTGTTCCGATGTTGCCTTAAAATGTAACACATCAAATCTCCCTTTTATTTTAAATATTCAGAAGTATGCCACTATTATATTAGCCTTTGATTTTTTTATCCAAAGGATGCTAGATTGTTCCCTGCTTTTCATTTTTTGTGGTTTTCCCTGAACTTGAGTATATATATAGATATGTGTGTGTGTGTGTGTGTGGCAATACCCCAAACAGTATAACTTGGTATCGGTAGTGGTATACTTGCACAAATTGTCGATTGTTCGAGTTTGGCAACCTTAATGTGGGAGTCATAATTCTTTTAAGGCTTGGGCTCTTAGTGGGCACTGAGCTTTTAAGTCAACCACTGTTTACTTAATTTGCTTATCAGATGATCGTGGCTTGTGTTTTGATTTACTTGATTTAAACTCCGCAAGAAGTCGATGAACAAAGAAAACATGGTCCTTACGTTTGTATTCCTTGTGGTACTTATGCTCTAGGATTTTCTTCATTTGTTATACGAGAAATGTTGAGGGAATTAGGGTCTTGTGATAAATCACAGTAAATATATAATGTAGATCGATAAGAATATGAGATTGCTTGAGAGTTATCTTTTTTTAAATAAATTTTCAGCCCATAATTTGGATGAGTTGCACGAAATTTGCTCGAGGATAATCTTGTTCAATTAGTGTCAGCTCTTAAAATTTCGTTTACGAGTATGACTAGTAGCAATAGCTCTTGAATTCTCCCCCTTTCTGCTCTTCCACTTATACAATTCAATAATTCAGTTATCCTTAAACTATATGATTAATTCCTTTCTATAAAGCACAAATTTACTTAATACCAGCAAAATGTGACATCTTTATACACATCTCAGTCAATTTAGATCGTTATTGCTATTTCGTTTGAGGAAGATAATATCTCACACTTGGATTAAGTACCCGATAAAAAGTAGTTTAACATATTTTAACTTGAGACAAAGAACGCGGTACATGTTGCATGTTGAGTGAGATCTCAAAATATTGTTTTTACATAATTAATAATGTTTTATGCATGTGTGCGGAATTTTCAATTAAAACGTTGCGTTTTATTGAAATATGTTTGTTCATGCAACCATGACTGCAAAATAAGTTATGTATTTCATTATGTTAGCAAAATATTGAAAATGATAGTCGGTGAATAATTATAGTTCTTATGATGACAAAATATTGAACCAATTTTTGGAACGTTTCTACATATATAAAGTCTATGATATCATAACATGGAATAAAAGTATGTTAGCTTTGAGAGAGTACCAATTATCTGACAATAATATATAATGGGGGAGGCTAATGGCACCCCTATTAATTGCTATTGACACGCCTAAAGCTAGTTTTGTCATTATTGTTTTTATGGTTTTTAGTATTTTTTTATTATTATGTTTTGTTTTATTGTTATTTAAATTTATTTTTAAAGAAATTTTAATTTAATATAAATTTTTTATTTT